ATTCCCTTTTCCTGCCTCCACACTATGTAGTTTTTAGGCGCTAATAGACTATCTGTTGTTTTCCAGTTTTTCCAGTTACATACATATTCGGCTTTCTCTTTGATACTTATCTACCCTCTGCCTCTTTCTGTCGTCCCCCCCCCCCTTTCCCTTTTCCCCTTCTTTATTGGTCATCTGAAGAAGAGGGCTGTGCCCATGAAAGCTCGTGATACCATCTACATGTTTTGTTAGTCTTTAAACTGCTACCAGACTATTTGTTGTTTTTAAAGTTTTTCCTGTTACAGACTAACTCGACCACCCCTCTGAAGCTTTTAAATTACAAGATCATCCATCCTCCCTTCTAAAACACAATTGCCACACCTTTGTGGATAGTCTTCATAGAGATGCCAAGTACTGAATCCAGGCTATGTCTACACTATAGGTTATATTGGCAGAGTTTGACCTGGTCTACACTACATTGGAAGGTTGAAATAAGATATGCAACTCCAGCTACATAAATTACGTAGCTGGAGTTTAAGTATCTGATATCACGTTTCCGTGCTGTCCACACAGCAGAAGGCCGATGGGAGCAAATGTTCCCGTCAGCTTCCCTTACTCCTCCATGAGACACAGTACTCCCAGTGCTGATGGAGGAACTCTTTGAGTTAGATCTAGCTGCGGGTTTATACTAGAATCCCAGAAGATTGACCATGGCAGCATCGATCTACTGCCTAGTGAAAACATACCCTTTGTTCTGCAAGGGGTGTGAGTAAGCCACCCCCCAAGTGACACAGATTTCACCAACATAAGCACCAGTGTGGACAGTGTTATGCCAGGAGGTGGTTTTATTATGCCAAAAGGAGAGTTCTGTCCCGTCAGGATAGAGGATCTTCACCAGGTATGTGACAGCGGCACCGTAGCATCAGGGCAGTGGAACTGCAGCGGTGCTGTATCTGTAGACACTAATCTAATCTAAGCAATCTGAGTACCACATTTATCACTGTGGTATCTCTGAATAAACCAAGAAAACAGACTCCAAAGCAAATCTGACGTCAAAGCAGTGTGCCATCAAGGCTGAATTTGGCCTGAATTTTCACTTTCCTATGGGCTGGGTGTGGGGGGGAGGTGTGTGTGTGTGTGTGTGTGTGTGTGTGTGTGCGCGTGCGCGCGCGCACTGGCTGTTGTGCAGCTCTCTTTAGGTCAGAAATAAGGTACTTTGGTAGGGATGTCAGGGTAGCATGTGTGTAAACCTGCATTACTACTGTGTTATACTTCTGCTTAAGATAGAGGGCTCTTTCTCCAAGACGGCTGTCCCGGCACTTTTCACTGGTGCTGGAGTTGAATCTGATAAGGAAACTAGAGTGGATGGACACCACCCTGTTGCAAGTTTTGTGGATTTGTATAGACTACATTTTGATCCATCTGGGACCCTGAGACCTTCATGGCACTTCCAAAAAGTCTTCATGTCTTAGCAGAGAAGGGTCGTGAAGAAACTGGCAATGCCATTTCTGCTCCACAGCTCAGCTAATCACACATCTGCAGCAACTTCAGACCACATGACCTGGCTTCCTGGAATAAAGGTCCAGTTATCATCAGATCTTACACTGAGCACTTCCTGCCACAGCACGTCACACATTCACACCCCAGAGTGGCTGCTGTCTCACCTCCGGCAGCTTACATGCTTGAAAGCTGTCAGCATTTTCAGAAATGGGAAAATACTTAGTTGACCAAGTGATTCTTGGTGGCCTGCAGCAGTTTTGCTGACAGTGATACTTCCTGAGTCAAACTGCAGTGAATCGAAGTGACTAGGTTCTAAAATCCATCTTATATTATTTTCACCCTCCCTGTCACTGTCTGTGACTGAGGGTTAATTCCCCTGAAATATCTTCCCCTTCCCCTGAAGCTGCTATCAAATTACACAGCTGTCTCTGACTGAAAACTATTCCTTCTGATGCCTTCTCCTGATGCCAAATCCCTGAACCCTGAACTCCAGTACCTGATTGTCTCTGAGAGTTCATCACTATCTGATCCTTAAATTTGCTGTCCAAAGGTCTAATTCAAAGCCTGTTGAAGTCAATGGGAGTCTTGCCATTCTTTTAATAGAGTCATAGGGCAGCCAGAAGGGACCACTACTAGTCTGACTTCTTGAACATCCACCAACACCACCCAGCCAGCCACACATTAAACCCAGCAACTGAAATGGGACTGAAGGATTGCAGACCATAGGAGACTAGCTTCGGACCAGCTGTCCATGAGTGAAGCGCAGTCCCTTAAATCACCCCCTTCTGCTCCCCGACCCCAATCTACCAATGCCCAACAGCCTTTGGCTAAAGGCAAAACGCCTTTCTGTCCCCTGCACCCATTGTCTAGGCAGCAGACTATCTGTGACTGAGAGCTAACCCCCTTATGCCCTCTTCCTAATCCCTGACCTGTGATCAAGAACTCACTTCCATCCAAGCAGTAGCATTTGTTAATACGCAAGTTCCCACGACAAATGGCAATGAAAACCATGCTATTTTGAAAAACGGGCTCTTGATTGGTATTTTATTGACAAAAAAGGCAGTTTTTAAAATTCATTTTAGCAGCAAGAATGATTAAGAAGCTTATGAAGAAATACATAGGAACTGCTATGGGATCATTGGCCATTTAAGCTAGCATCCAGCCCAGCGGTGCTCACTCTTTCTGTTGCATCTTGCGAACTTCCCATGGCACAGTACATACAGTGGGAAGCCTTCTCCTCACTCAGCTGGGAAGTATTTGTCCCTTCTTTATCCCCTGTGTCTCTGAGATGGTAGGACGACCAGCATCCTGAGACATGCGCAGTGGTTTGGAGAAAGTGACACAGGAAAAGGCTGGCTCCCTGCAACATTCGCAATGCTAACTAGGCCAAGCTCCATTCTATTGCAGTATCAGCAGCACTTTCATGACAAAATCAAACACAATGGACACTCATTTATCTGACCAGCACAGCATTCCATTTCAGAACTCAAGAGAATGAAAACTGTGTAATGAAAACATGAGTCCCAGGACAGAGGAGGAGACTTAACACTCACGTGGAAAAGGGGAGTAAGTTTGGTGCGGAAACATGAGTCCCAGGACAAAGGAGGAGACTTAACACTCACGTGGAAAAGGGGAGCATTGAACTTGGGGTGAATCTCAGACAGTTGACAGATGGACACCATGGAACCAAGCTGAACAGCCTTCCTTCTACCCCTAGCTTCCCTTTATTTCAGCACTTCTGCCTCCAATCGGTAAATATGGAGACGGTGCAAAATGCTATCCAAACTGTTTTTTAGTCAAACAGATGGACTGAATTTTGGTTTTAAGCAAAGGTAATGATCTGTAGTCATTTATGGAGATGATTTATCTGCCCTAGCTGCTAATTGGGCAATTGTTCCTCTCAAGCAATGGAAAGAATGGGGATGACCAACAGACGATTTCCCCTTCATGCAGGATGTGGGATGGATTCCTCTGCAATCGTCTTAGCAGAGTTAAAGGAAAGAGTTTTGGTCTGCAGGGCAGAGAAGCTTTTGATTTCATGAAAAGATTGCAGCAAGAATGGGAAATGTTGTGCTCTGTTTTATGCTAGCGTCTCTCTTGCTTCCTCACGCCCCACTATTTGGGGGAATTTTCACCCAGTGTTTTTTTGCTGATAATAAGAATTTTTTTTATCACATCCCTTGCATGAGTTGACTCATTTCTGGCTTTCAATTGTCTTTGAAGACCCAAGCCCAGACTCAGATATCTGATTAGGACCAAGCTGATTAAAACATTCACTTCATACAAAGTGGAGTGGGAAGGGTGCAGGAAATGAACTAAACCCTGGGACAATCAATAAGGACCACCCTCAACACCTTCCATCACCCCTATCCCCAGCAGCACCCAGCACTCACAAGTAGCTCGCCACTCACCTTCTCAAGTATTTCTATTCCCCTGTAGATGCTTGCATGCCCTGTAAGTTGGTACATGAGGGATGGAAAGTTTGGCCTGAGAGTTTGATACTATCTTCACCCTGTATTGCAGAACAATCCAATTTCTCTCTCCTTTGCTCTATGTACTTTCACAGTTGTGATGCCCCTTTCTGGCTACCTCAATTTCATCTCTATTCGTTGGTCTACTAGTTTATGTATCTAGTTCTCCTTCCATGGTGTCCATCAAGTCACACTATCTACCAAGCTGTCAGCTTATCCAGGGAAATGTTATCTGTGCCACACAACCCATCCATGCAGTCATCCCTCTTCCTGAGCATCCCTTTTTCTAAATTCTCATCCCTCCATTCATTCATACACACCCCATTCAAAACTGAGCTTTACTTTCCCTTCAGGTTATAGATTTGGGTCATGCTTTTTCCACATGCTGCTAAAGCTCCCACTCCCTTGCAATACGACAGTGGTTCTCAAAGGGTATGTCTACACT